TTTTCCCTCCAAAAGGCCCAGAGCGAATCACTACATAATTACGTTTTTGAATTCACAAAAATGATAAAGATATACAGACTACAGACAAAGACAAACCTAAAAAAAAATATTTAATGATTGAATGAGAGTCATGAGAATGTTGCCACAGAGTAAGTACGCACATATTGTTATGATAGTATTGATAGTATTGATGAATGGAAAATGAGTAACTTGCTTTGTTTACAGTGTGGCCAACGTAACCGATTTATCGCCATTTAGGCTACTCAGGACAAAAATCAGCTACGAAAAAATATGAAAGGCCTATTAGGCTACTTTCGGTTTACAATTTTAAGAGTAAAAAGTGAGAGTACATAGAGAAAAAATAAGCTCCCCATGAAAATATAAAAAGTCCGTGCCATTAAGAAAGAAACATTCTTTATGGTTGGTCAGTTTCGGCGGAAATTTCCCGCGAAATCTAATAGATTAAGTTTTATTATACGTTTCAAAACAAAGTTTCTTGCAACTCCTCTTTAGCAATCAATTTGAACGTTGCTTGTTGTGCTAATAAGTTTAAAGATTGGTTTGACTTTAGTAAAAGAAAATATGGAGGGCACAGCAGTTTTCTTCAATACTTTTGTGTATAGGTTCCTCACCTAAAACAGACAAAAAATTTAATAAATGATAACATATACTAGTAGAATAATGCCATAAGTATTAATGATAGCAGTGCCAAGAATGAAAAGGAATACATGATATTTGTTTTGCAAAATTTCAGCCCAACCTATCTTCAAGTTTAAATTGAGACGCACATAACCTAAAAACGAATTAGTAAATTTAAATTCTTTCCTTTGAAGATCTTTTTCCTCACACTTTTCTTCCTTTCGAATCTTTGGGGAATAAATGTATTCCCGTATTTTGCAATCAACCCTTGCACAGAGAGTCATAATAGGAATTATTTCTTTTAAAGACTTTCTTTGTTTACAAAAACAAATTATAGTTACAAAGAGAATTTAAGCACTACGTTTATATAGTTATAGCTGTCCAAACCGAACGCTCTACAGTGGTGACATCTGGAGGGAGCAATAGGCAGTTATTTACCCCATTATGTAAATATTTTTATTTTTATTTACTTTTATTTGATTCTACTAAATCAATAAAAATTCTAAAAAAAACTAATAAAAATTCTGTAGCCGTAATAGCCTTAATGGTTTGACCAACTGCCTCTCAAGCAGAGGGTCGTGGATTCGAGTTTGGGCTCGCATCTCTGAGTTTCTCGGAATTTATGTGCGAAATTTAATTTGAAATTTATCATGAGCTTTTCGGTGAAGGAAAACATCGTGATGAAACCTGCCCGTTGAAGAAGGTTCACAACCCTCGGAAAACGTAAGAAGTCCCCAACCCGCATGGGGCCAGCGTGGCGGACTATAGCCTAAATCCTCGTCTGAAAGGAGACCCGTGCCCAGCAGTGGGACGTATAAATGGGTTGATGGTGGATTCTACTAAGGTTTCATTTTTCATTTGAATAAATTATTGATTTAAATTTATTACTGTTTTTCATTTGGTGTTTAGGCTACCTACTTTAGGCTACCACAACTAAAATTCGGCTAAATTAGGCTAATAAGGTGTGTTTGACCACATTGGACCTAGCGTTGCCAATTTGTGGGGAATTCCCCAAATTGCGGGGAATTTCAATTAAACTGGGGATTTAGAGAGGATTGGCGCTATGTGGGGAAATGTGGGGATTCCAACATTTTATTATTTTGTTTAATCTATTAATTGCTGATGCATCGCTAGTTTGATCGTTACTGTTAGAAACACTATGATGAACTATATCGAGGTGTTTTTCAACATCGCATATCCCTCGTATTATTAATAAGCAGCTTAAATAGAATTATTATCAGAGCACTTGGTTCTGAATTGTAAAATTACCAGTCGGTGGTAGGCTGGTCCCCAGTATAAAACAAAACGAAATCAGCTATTAATAAACTAAGCCGAGCAGTTAGTACTTTCTAACTTTAACTTTAAATATTAAATATAGGTCGAAACTCATTGATTATTTCTAACATTAACATAGTGTCACCAAATGAACAACAAATAATCAATTTACTTAATTTTGTAAGGCAAAGAAATTTTTTTTTTCAAAGACTGATTAATGTTGAATTTAATTAAAATAATTAAACGATTTAAGGTCATCTAATTTTATAATTAGTTTTACGTTTTACATTCTGTTTACATTCACAGCAAATGTAATAGATGGTTACATTTTGAGTATCTCAGTTGTAATTTAGGGAAGATTTACTATTTATTAGGGATTAGGGATTACTGGAATGAAAGTGGAGTTTTAATAATATGTTTAAATATAATTTTAGATTTTGGGTAAAGATGTACATTATTTGCTAAGTAAGAGTGACAGTAGTATATTATTTGTCTTATGAAACTATTGTCTATTTATAAACCAAACTACTTTTATTGAAATTCCAACAGCCCCCTCAATAAAAGTACGTTTTAAACATAAAAGGGAAGCTTATTTAAATAACTTAATACTTAAACCATTTCTAAACACACATACCTCAACAAATAATTGATAACAAGCATTAAAGAAACTAAAACACAAAACTTAGTAGCTATTAAACAAAAGATCTCTAGCCTTTTTATACACTTGGGGAGATAGAGGTTTAGTTAAAATGTCAGCTATCTATTCGTTTTACATAGCTGATTTGAATATGACCATTGGATACCCTTTCTTTTATAAAATGGTACTTAATATCCAAATGTTTCATTTTTTTATGGTTGAACAACAGAGTTACAACAACCAATAGCTGATTGGTTATCCTCGAACATGGTCACAACTGTTGCATCTGAAATAAACATTTTCAAAAGCAAAGATCGAAGCCAGCAGGCTTCACTGACCACAGACGCGAGAGCGACATACTCAGCTTCGCAAGAAGAAAGAGCAACAGTAGACTGCTTTTTCGAATACCAAGTTACAAGGTTTCCGTAAACACGGAAACAATAACCGCTATTTGATTTCCTGTCTATAGAATCTACATCCCAGTCGGCGTCAGCGTAGCCACGTAGCAAGCACATCGCAGTTTTTGTTTCTGTGAAAGCTCAGTTTTAAATTAATAGTCGACTCAACGTATCGTAAAACACGTTTAAGACATACCCAAAGGTCCTGACTAGCACAGCTTTGGAACGTGGAAAGCATTGTTATGCTCAAACAAAGATCAGGCCTAGTGCTTAGCATGGCGTACATTAAAGATCCAATGACCTGCCTACACCGATATTCCAGTAGATTATTATAAACAAACAATTTATATAACAACAAACCAGTAGTATATTATTTTTCTTATGAGACTATTGTCTATTTTTAAACCAAACTACTTTTATTGAAATTCCAACAATCCATAATTCTTATAATATATTTTTAAACGATGTATTTCTAATAAATAATGAAAACTCGAGATGTGAGGAATATGTACTTTGCTCTCCCCAAATTTGAGGATTTTAACTGTGAGTTTTGGGAATTTTGAACAATTGGCATTAGAGATGGGAAAATTTGCTTATTTTTTTAATCGTTGTGCTTTTTTTAAGCGCGTTTTCACTTAAACGCTATTTAGTTTGAAGCTAACAAAATCGTTTAGAAAACGTTTAAGCGCATAGACTTTTATGTTAAAAATAGCTTGCAACGTTGTTTTGTTGATGGCGAAACGCAAGAGTAGACCACTACGTTTTTTTTGTAAAAAACGAGTTATATTTTTAACATAACATTTCTATACTAATATTTTGTTCATTGGCGTTTAAAAGCGTTTAAAAACATAAGTTGTTTAACTTTTGTAGTTGTTAACCATTGAAATGGAAAAACTGATTATTTTTTAACCTTAAAACGTACGTTTAAAAAGCGTGCTTGTAAAAGCGCTTTTAAAATTAATTTGTTTAGGAAACATAGATGGCGCTACTTGTATGGCACGTTGCAAAAAAAAAATGAAATTATTGAACATCTGTAGAACTGGCCACTAGGAATTGGTAATATAGCTTTTTCTGAATATCGTATCGAAACTATATATCAATAATCGAAATCGGATTTCGAAACTATATATTTTCTGAAACTATATATTCATGGATACAGCCCGCGTGCGCGCTAAGTTGATACATTGCCGTTACTGATTCGGAATCAGATTTCGAAACTATATATTATTACTGGATATAGTTTTACAAGAGTAATGCGGGCTAATGTTAGTATATAGTTTCGAAGACGCACAAAAAATGGTTTCGCGTTGATATCCACTCAGTGAATATCTGATACGAAGCAATATCGGTATATAGTTTGGAAAATATGTGATTTCGTGTTGGTATCCACTCGGTAATCGCTCGGCTTGATTCGGCATCGCTAATACGCGATGCGGAGCAATATCGACATACAGTTTCTAAGATACACGATATCGGATATTCTATATTGCCACAATATATAGTTTCAATAAAAATATACTATTTGTAACGCCCATTCCTACTGGCCAGGCCAGTGGCCAGTGGCCAGTGACCAACGCTTACGCTTAATGAAAAGCGTGCTTATGCGCTTATTTTAAAAAGCAGACTTTTTTAAGTGCTTTTCGTTTAAACGGCCACCTCTAATTGGCATTGGCAATGCTGGTTGTTGGCAACACTGTTTGTTTGTTGTGTTAAATGGATTCAATGGATTCGCTCTGGACCTTTTGGAGGGAAAAGTGTCGTTTTTATTTTGACTTTCAATTATTTTGTGAAATCTAGTACAAAGTGGAATAGGATAGTGCCATCGTGCCTTAATCGAAGATTAAAACGCGAAATTATACGAATCTCGAACTAAAATACCCGTTTCGGCCCGTTCTAAGGAATCCCGAGTCAATCCCAGCACGCCGCCTCAAATTGCCTATCCTCATTGTGGTGGCTATATTTACAGAAATATAATTGAACGTTTATGTTTTCGGCTGAAGAACTTTGTTTCCATGGCCAGCAATAATTTTTTAAAAAAGGTTGTGTTAAATGGTGTTAAACTCTAATTATTTTGAAGAATAATATTTTCGTTTTATATAATTAAAAACCGTTTATTGTTCCTAAAATTTAATTTACTGCAATTTGACCGTTTTGCTTTATTGTCTAAAAAATTATTGAAGTAATAGAACAAAGTTGACTAGTGCCATTATTCTAATAGATAGTACCCATTGGTTACCTAAATTACCTTTGGTCATAATGAGAACAATGAAAAGTGTTGTGCTTTTCCTGCTTTTTATTAAATTTAACTTATTGGGAGCTGATATTTCTTATTCATATCATTTCAACACATATAAACCTACTGAATTGTAAGTAACTTTCAATAAGCCGCATTTCATAAACAGCCTCTAAGATTAATTAAGGACTTACTGTCATTAACAATATAGGTACACGTATGTTATTTTGTTCCAGATAAAATACCTTTACCTTATTTGTGACTGAGAATTTAATAGTATTGCTTTATTGCTTATAGGTTTTATAACGGAGAGGGCTACTTCTATGACATTCCAGACAACTGCACCAGAATTTTGAACTCATTTGCAGAAAGTGCAATGAATTTTACAAGATGCTCTATTCTCCATGCAAGACCAGTAAAATTGTGCAGGGAATGTGTAAATGATTATGTACAGTTCTTTGATACATATCAAAAATTATTGCATACAGAGATCAATGGAACTACTTGTACATTTATGTACTTATCACATGACAGATTCGAAGTGGTTCTTTCATACTATAATAACATAGATGCTATTTGGAATAAGGGAAATTGTAATGGTTGGTTGATTTTTTAAATACAGGTTGTTGAACAATAGACTACAAATGTTTTAAAGGAGTTATTTGGAATTGCAAGCACAGTAGGACTTTGGTGGAAAAAAAATGTAGTGTAATATTTTATTTTTCCATACAAATCAAAGTTAAAGTTAGTTAATCGTTGAAGCAATATTGTGTGAATAATTATGTTTACTTTTTTCTATTTAATCATATTCTATTTGCAATGCCAAACAACTTCTTAACAGTGTGTGTGTGTGTGTGTGGGAGTGACATATGAATCTCATAAATATTTATATAATTATGTTTTTGGTAAGATATATCTTTTAGATGCTGGTTACTCTGATCTTTAGTATTGGTTCACTTAGTCAGTGGTTTCATAGACAATTGTTTCATTTAACACAATTATTATGTTTTTCAGGATGTTTCAACTGGTCTACTGAAATCCCTCAAGTTTCTAATAGCACTAAAAAATTTATTAACATGTTCAATGAAACCGTGGACTGCATCAAGTCAAATTATTATCCATCTATGAATGACACTGAGGAAGTATGCCAAAAGTGCTCGCAGTCATATATACAGTTGGATGAATATTACAAATCATTGAGCAGTGATTCTATTGGAGTGGACAGCATTTGTATGGATATTGTCGATTCTGTAAGTTTATATTACACGAAAACGTGTGTAATAAAGGGATAGTTTGCTAATCTAAAAAACAAGTGGATGTGTCTGCTTCATCAATAAAAAAATCTAAGTTCAGGTTTAATTAAAGTTCCTTCAAACATATTTAATACTAGTGAGAATGTGCACAGTAACAATATCATGCCATTCTATTTATATGTATGTAATTTACAAAAAATCAACAATTTATTTAAAGGCTGATGCTGTAAAAATTTTTTAACTTTACTTTTAAAGCTTTTAAACATCTAACTAGCAAAACCTCACATTGGATAGTAACTTTTGACTCAGTATAACTTTGACCCACCTCTGAGATAGACCTCAAATTTGAATTGACCTTTAATAAACAAGTAATTTGTATTTTATTAAAAGTAACAATTATCTCCAGTTTGTTACAAAATTGGAATTCTGCTTTTTATTACTTGATTAATTAACTGAAATTACAAGTTTTGTCTTATTCAAGAGATGTTACCCAGAATGACAACTATATTGAATGTATTTCTAGAAAGTGCAGTCCTCAAACCAGTAGTGCTTTTGCAATGGACATTTTCAAAGTTGTGTACCAAATTCTTTGTCACAGTAATTTCACCATAAATCTTACTCTACATGACCATAAAGACGAATTTGGGAATCAAACTCTTCCAAATTTTTCAATATTTTAGTGGTCAGTAAAAAATATATGTATTACAATATATAAATGAATGGATTTATTTTATGTGAATGTAAGCCAATTTTTTTTTCTTTTTAGATGAACACCACTAGATCCATTTGGAGTAAAACACTAAACTGTTGTAAACTCAGAAGGCATCCTGAGATAATATTTTTATGTGTTACTGGAGTTATATCATTTCTTCCCTTACTCTTCTATTTTGTGGTGAGGTACTGTGGACCAATCAGGGACTTACCAAATGTGTTGAAACGTAAGTTTGAATTGTGATAATATTTAAATGTTTGCCATATTGTTATACACTTCTGGACACATAATTTGAGCCACTACGCATTTTCAGTATTAAGTGCCTTGTGCTTAAAAAATGTTTTATTAATAAAAAACTATTATGCAATTTTGAAACTAGTATACTAAACATCTTTTCTGTAAGTCCTTGTTGGGAATGTAGGTTTGCAAAACCGGGGAAAACTTTTTCTTTGATGATAACACTTAACACTTTTTTTGTATTCTAGCCCTTTACGACAAAAATGCGAGGGCTCCAATTGTGTCCAGGAGTATATAATGTGTACTTACTGCAATTTTGATCTCATATAAGCTATAAGACCCCTCTTGAATTTTCTATTGTTTTAAGTCAAAATGTATCCCTTTATTTACCCTGAATGCCATATTTTACAGAATCAAGGTTCAAGCAAACAATTTTGAGGTCAGCTGATGGAAGAATAAATTAGACTGGTATCATTGACTTACAATTATATGGATGTAGGGTCCGCACTAAAGTGTCCGAACTTATAGGGCGTTAAAATCGTATACAGAGCGTCATTCACGCTTTAGTCTTCGTTTGTTCGACTGACAGCAAAGCAAGCAAAATTAGACAGTACTGTGACGACATTACAATTTAAATTCAACGTTTTAGCTTTTTCATATACCTTTACATGTTACTACGTTTAAATAGGTTGACTTGGGACATTTTTTTCATGGTTTTTGGATTAGACCCATCGTCCATTTATTTGTAAGTCAATGACTGGTATAGAAGATTAGTAATTAATTTGTAGAAAATTAAAGATATTTTATTTTTTGTAACAACTGTATTTAACTTAACCAAAGACCAATAAATGAATTTTTATCACAAATTTATTTTATTGTGTAGATTAGAAGGGATTTGATAATTCTAAACATTAAGGATTATTAAATCTATTGTTTAATTTCAGAGAAATTTCTCAACGAATTGAACTAAATTGATGTTTTATCTATTCCTTATCTGTGTCTAGCTTTCTTGTTATTGCTTTTCTTCACACTACTGCTGCTAGTGCTGTTTGATAATTTATGTTTTAAGGAGTTTGGTGTAGAATCACCTTTAGTCAACACACTTAAGGAGTCTTTTGAATCTTTCGGTGTACCAGGTCTACTATCAAGTCCTACTGCTGATAGCATTTTACTATCGCTACCAAATGCTTTCTGTAACATTCCAGATGAGGTTGCGATCTTTTGAGTTGCACTTTGTTTAGTTTGATGACTTAAACTCTTCTCAATACTGCCATTGATGTGCTGTTTTCCTGCAGGTTTAGTGGAAGCTATACTTTCTGTAGATCCATGTATTGTAGTATGATTTAAATTTCCAAGCAATCCAGAACTAATTTGTGTGTCTGATGAATCCTCATTGGTCTGTGATTCAGTCTCACTGTTCCTTTCATCTAAAAATTAAAATATACAAAATGAGACAAATTTAAAAACAACAGTATAATTTTTAAGTTGTAATGGTTTGTTACTCACTTTTTGCTTCGGCAGGGTCCACAAGACCACTAACAGCCTGTAATAGACAAAATAAAGACAAGTAATAAATATGCAAAATATCAAGGTTATTTTTATTTATTTCATACTCACAGCCATAGAAGTTATTGAAGATTTAGAAAATAGTCTTTCGGCTTCTTTGAACTTTCTGTTACGTTTGTCTGCTTTTGAATTAGTGCTCTTGTTTGTTGTTAAGTATCTATCCCAACCTCTTATTATATTTCCATACAGTTGTGTATCTTCTAAGTACGAGCCTTCGAAAGCGTAAATTTGCCTTTCTAAATTCGCCAGTGTTTCCTACAAATATAAAAGTTATTAAAACGGATACAACGTGAAACTACATGTAAATAAATTTTACTCACAGCAACTTCGGCTTTGCGTTTTACCAAATCCGCTAATTCCGCTCTTGTGTCCGCAACAGAACTTTGTTTGGACGCCATGTTGGTTTTAGATTGTACGCTTAGGGCTTCGCTAGCGGGACTTTGCGGTGAAACAACCATGACGGTGTCTATTTATTGCGATTTATGCCTTCATAATTTCAGACCTCCTAAATGTAAATGAAGAAAACTATTAGGGAATCACGGCCACGGTATAATGAACAAAAATCATTAAATTACACTCCACAGATTAATGAGCTTCACTCGCTTTGGCTTTGACAAAAGTGAGCGAATGGAATTGAATGGATGATATAAGTTTGGAGTAATATGAACGAATAAATTAAATCATTGAAGAGGGCAATGTTTTAACAATGTGCAGCCAAGTATTTATTATTATAGCTACTTCTCATCACTACCTTTCATTGTTAAACTCTGTGTACTGTGTATTGTGTGTTGTGTAGTGTAAAAAAGTCAGTGATTTTCGTGTCAATGTCAAAAATTCAAGTCTTCAGTCCATTATTTTGTTCAGGCATTATGCTTCGTATTCGGTGGGTGTATGGTGTCAAACCTTTGCCTTTTCCTTCGAGGAAAGAATAGAAAAACAACAGGCTAATATCCAACTATTGTAATAGAAAAACGCGGGAAACTTCCGAAACTGGCGGGTGCATTTTTCCTGGTTTTAGTGGTTTTTATTGTTTTTGCGGGATCAGGAGAGTTCTGTTTGTATTTATTGTATATAATCTTTAATTTAGTACCTGTGTAAATATTTGTAGTGTATATATTTTCCGCTTCGGGTAAGTTTTTCATTTTTTAACATGGGCGACGAGCCCCCCGATGACCCTGGAGGAACAGTGCCTTCAGTGGGCCTAAATATTGAAATATCCTCGCTTGAAGCTAGTGCAGTAGATACGGAAGATGGTGTCCGTAGTGAAGATGGACGCAAAAATAGGAAACGCATTAAAACTTCCCGTAGACATTCTGAGAAAAAAAGGAAAGATAGTAAGGGTAACTTTGTCGAAAGCTCTCATGATGATATTACAGAATATAATGCGAATATTAAGTATACGGAATTTGTTTCATCTTTATCTCAGGATAAGTTAACAAACGTCACTGTTTCTAACAAACCTTCTACTCAAATTCCTCCCACTCAGCCTCGGTATCAGAATATAAGAAAATATGAGCGCACTGACATCAGTCCGTATGTGATTCACGTAGTGAGACAGTCTGCTCCCGAAGAACGTGCTTCTTTACATCCAGTGCAATTTGGGAACATTCTTAAGAAAAATTCAGTTCCAAATATAGTGAATGGAAGTTTAAAACGTATTGGACGAAACAGACTTGCTCTAGCATTTACTCATTTCGATGATGCTAACAATTTTATTGATAATCCTTGTTTAGAGACTCATAAATTAAAAGCTTTCATACCAACATTTACTGTAACAAGAATGGGCATTGTACGAGGGGTCCCTGCTAGTTGGTCAGAGGAGGAAATATTGGACAATGTTTCTGTACCTATAGGATGTGGAAAAATAATTAAAGTAAGTCGTATCAGACGTAAAAAAATCGAAAACGGGAATGCTGAATTTACTAATACTGAAACTGTTGTTTTAACTTTTGATGGACAGACTCTACCAAAAAAAGTGTACATGTGCTATACAGCACTAACTGTAGATTTATATACATATCCCACAGTACAGTGTTTTCAATGTTGTAGATTTGGACATACTAAATTATATTGTAGATCTATACCACGTTGTTACAAATGTGGTAATAATCATACGGGTGATACATGCACAGTTGAGGAGGATGGTGCTTCTTGTTGTTTATGCTTAGGTTACCATTTTGCAACTAGTAAGGCCTGCCCAGAGTTTTCTAGGCAAAAACAAATAAAGACTTACATGGCTCAAAATTGTGTATCATACTTTGAAGCCTCAAAATCATATCCACCAGTAACTAAATCTTATGCAGATGTACTCAAACAACAGTCTACACTAATTAATTCACCGACACCTGCAAAGCTTTCTTCTTCAGCCTCTAATAATTCTTACAAAAGAACAGTTTTCTTAAAGCCCCGTTCTCCTCCAAGACAATCTGGTGGTTATGACCAATTTGCTCATGCACAGTATGCTAATGAATATAATATGAACATGGTTTCTTCTCTTTCTAATAGTTCTGCATATAAAACATCTGATAACGATAATGACCAATCTAAATCTGAATTGTCAATTATTGAAATTATTACAGCTCTTATTAACTATTTAAGTAAATCAAATCTTATAACACCTAATATACCGCCCAACGTTGCCCCTACCATCTCGAAATATATTACTACTAACTTGGTTCACAATGGACCACCGATTAATACAATGAAATTGTAGAAGTATTTCGAATAAAAAAACTGATTTAATTTATTTACTCAACAATATTGATCCTTGCATTCTTTGTCTGTCTGAAACATGGTTAAAGCCACAATATTCCTTTAGAGTTTCTGGATTTTCAGTTCTTCGAAAAGACAGATCTGATGGGTATGGTGGAGCCGCCATACTTGTTAAAAATTCTCTTTCCTTTCAGTCTTTTCCCTTACCTTCTTTCAGCGATGGGATTGATGCCGTTGCTGCTATTATTAATAATATATGTATTGTATCTTTGTATATACCACATCCAACTTCCTCTCTTCTCTCTGAAATTAACAACTTAATTCCTATTCTTCCTAAACCATTTCTTATTCTAGGTGATTTCAACTGCCAACACCGTTCTTGGGGCAGTTCTTTTTCTACATACTATGGGGACGTATTATTGGATATACTAGACAATCAAAATCTTTGTGTCTTAAATACCGGCTCTCCCACAAGAATGACTGAGCCATCTGAGGGTTTCAGTGTCCCAGACCTTTCAATTTCTACTCCTGGCTTAACATCCACCCTATTGTGGTCAGTCTTCTCTTCTCCATGTGGTAGTGATCATTTTCCTATAATTATTACTTTCCCGTGTACCTCTCATAGTTGCATAAAACGTAGTCCCCGTTTAAAACACAAATTGCCAGATGATTGGAGTATTTTTAAAGATAGAGTAGACAAGAAAATAGCATCTTTACCGAATATACTCACTGATAGTGTCTCAGAATGTTCAGAGGCTCTTAGTAATCTCCTGATAGAAGTTGCTGATGAACTTTTCGCGTTAAAAATGCCCCAATCGTCGAGAATCCCTTTTCCACCTTGGTGGGACAGAGAATGTTTGGATGCAATTAAAAAAAGAAAAGCGGCTGAGCGAGTCTACCGTAACGCAATGACCGCAGAAAATTATGAAGTTTACAGCCAAATCGCACGTGAGACCCGTAAGCTGCTTAAGAAAAAGAAGTTTGATGGCTGGAGGCGTTTTTGTGTATCTATTTGTCCTGACGTCCACCCAACCATTGTATGGCAAAATATAAGAAGGTTTAGGACTGGTACGAACACTTCACCTCAGTGTTCGTTACCTCCAAATTTAGCAAGCATATTTCTCGATAAACTTGCTCCTCCTTCGGTTCCTGAGTCAATTATAGCACAATTCTCATTTCCTCAATCAATTGGTAGAACAGGTCTTAATGCCCCCTTTACTTTGTCTGAACTGAAAGGCGTTTTAACAAAAGTCAAAGATTCTGCCCCTGGTGAGGACGGCATTCCATATTCCTTTCTTGTTCATAGTAGCGACAACACTCTTTTATATTATCTAGATGTAGTTAATGGCGTCATGCTTTCTGGGATAATTCCACCATCTTGGAAATCACAGTCCATCATAGCTATTCCTAAACCTAATAAACCACCATCTATAGTGTCCTCTTTTAGACCGATTGCCCTTTCCTCTGTACTTGCTAAAATTGCAGAACATTTAGTTAAAAATAGATTGGAATGGTTCTTAGAAAGTAAAAACTTACTTTCAAACAACCAGTTTGGGTTTAGAAAAGGCAAAAGTACTATTGACGGTATTAGCATTTTGGTTACTGATATTCGCCTCGCCTTTACTAATAACAAGTCAGTACTCTCGGCATTTCTAGACATTAGTGCAGCGTACGATAGCGTTATTATATCTGTGTTGCAAACGAAATTATACGATCTGAATGTACCTGTATTACTTTCAAACTTTGTAGTCAATATGTTGTCGGAAAGGCGCATCAATTTATATCTTGACGACGGTTCTGTTATGTCCAGACTAGTATGGAGGGGACTTCCTCAGGGATCTGTACTTAGTCCAATTCTTTACAATATTTATACCTACGACCTGAAAGTTGCTCTCCAGGACAAAGTTGGAATTTTACAATACGCTGACGATTTGCTGTTGTACGCATCTGATACTAACATTCCTAGAGCTTGTAATATTTTGTCCTCATCTCTTAATTCTTTAAGACTTTGGTTGGATGCTAATGGACTTTGTCTGTCTGCTTCAAAAAGTGTAATAGTCTTGTTCTCTAGGATGCGCTACCCACCGGATCTTGAAATTTTATATGATTCCATTCCTATTCCAGTTAGACTTCAAAATAAATTTCTAGGTATTGTACTGGACTCTAAACTCACTGGTATTCCTCACTGTGAATATATTACGGCTAAATGTGAACGTAACCTAAATATTCTAAAATGTCTTGCCGGTGTCTGGTGGGGTGCGCATCCTTTCTCTCTTAAACTTGTTTATAATGCCATAATAAGGAGTGTATTGGACTACGCCACTTTTCTTTTGGAGCCAAGTAGTACTACGGCATTTAAAAAGTTAGACAATATTCAATCAAAGGCTTTGAGAATTCTGTCAGGTGCTATGAAGTCTAGCCCCATAAACGCATTGCAGGTCGAGTGTGTAGATCCTCCACTTCGATTACGACGTCAGTTTTTGTCTGACAGGTATTTCTTTCGATGCTTGCAACTTTCAAATCATCCTCTTCTATACAAACTACAATGTCTCTCTCGAAAAATAACATCTTCTCCATACTGGACTCGAAAATCTCTACCAAGCCTTGTCATTAGTTTTCACAAATACCTTGCTCTTGAAGCTCCCACTTATCAATATTCTCAGTATCCTCTTTTTTGTTATACTTACGAGGTGCTAACTTTAACACCAGATATTCGTTTAAATTTAGGAATTAATAAAAGTCATTTAGATGCTCCTCAATCTTTACACTTTGTTACTGAGAGTGATTTTGATGGTTGGCATTATTTATTTAGTGACGCATCAAAACGCTCTCTTGCTGGAAGTGTTGGAGTGGGAGTGTATCATCAGCAATCCAAAATAGTCAAAAAGATTAAGTTACCACCTGAAACTTCTGTATACACCGGAGAATGTTTTGGTTTGTTTAAAAGTGTAGAGTTTATTTTAATAGCTAAGTTAAACAAGACTATAATATTTTCTGATTCTATGAGCGCACTGCAATCATTGTGCAAGTTTCCGTTCAGTTCTAAACTGATTTGCCCCATTATATTAGAAATTAGAAATTTACTTTATCAGTGTACAATAAAAGGTTATTCTGTAGTGTTTGCATGGGTGCCGAGTCATTGCGGGATCCCAGGCAATGAACGCGCAGACCAACTGGCGGGTGAGGCGATT